TAGATTTATAACACATTTAGAATTGGTGGTTGTGATGTCTTTAAGACAAAGACCAACTAAGGCCAATTGTATGAAGTGTTTTTCCTTGATACGAATCTGTACTAACTCTTGAATATTTGTTTGTCAAGAAGTGTTTCTTGACAAGAGAATCTTATATGTCAAGAAGTCAGTGGGAATCTTAAAAATCTTGAAAAGTTTCAAGAACTAATCAAGAATAAACCTATTGTTTATTACTAGCACACGACTTGAGGTTCATAACCTATTGTGTTAACATATTCTTGTTTATGTGCCCATTCCAATTAAAGTTGACTATGTATGTGAGTTGTATGAGTTCTCAATTGTTTGCATAAGGCAAAGCACCTTGATCAGTGAAAGTTCATTGATCAGTAAGGGTGATCTGCTCAACGACTTGGAAGACATGGTAGGCCCTTGTGCTGCCAAGTGGCAAGAAATTAAGATTGAACAGGCTCAGTCCACATGAGTTTAAATTTTTCATAGACCTTGTCTTATGATAATGACATATTCATATGGATAGAAATGCATAGACCATAAAATCTAAGTGTCATAAGGTTTCTCTCCAATTCATGAAAATGATTGTGAGGAAACACTTTCACTAAGAAGATTTTGAGGAGATAGCAGTCGTGTTAATTACATTCTTAAATTCGATTATGATTACGACATCCCTCTTCATAGTTTGAGTTGTGAGAAATGGAAAATAGTCTGAACATTCATAACTTATTGTTGTAACTTCTGAAACACTTTAGACACACATATGAGCTTTCTTATAAAAGTTGTATGAGCTAAGATAAAGGCTTGTCGACTCATCTCGTATCAATAATCTGAACTTTGGAAAGAAAGTCAATAAGTATTGATTTCTAGAAGTCCAGTTGATTTTTGAATACATGTCAAATCTAGTGGGAGCATAAGTGTTATGCTAGTAAGGTAATGATTATTATGCTAGTGGGAGCATAATCAATATGGTAAGTGTTGCAGGTTAGCAATACAAGTTATAAGAAACAAAGGTTACAAATTTGCAAAGTTGCAAAGTTTGAAAAGTTGTTTCGCTATAGTAAGGGAGAGGGTACTCATACTTCATTTCAAATCTAAAAGCTTAGATTGCGAGATTTTAATCAAATTTAGTCAAGGATATATATATATATATATATATATATATATATATATATATATATATATATATATATATATATATATATATGAATGTTATGTTCAAATGATTCAACATAAGGAAATGCCATATAAGGAAATGTTATAACAAGAGACTGGTCAAGTATCATGTCTTTATGTAAAACATTATGTACCGTATCCCATATACTTCGGGTATAGGATCGATTACATGTGTTATATTATTCATCCGTTCTGATTTTCCAAATGCCTAGGGCATTAAGAAGGAAAATGGACCAGAACCGGATATGACTAAAGTGGTTAAACAACTGTTAAGGACAATCTAAGGTTCTCCAAGGATTGGTCGCTTATGGGCAGTTGGAAGTATGGCAATGGATGGACCATGTTGATATTATTATTAATAGACATGATTCTATTAATAATGAGTTGTCATATTGGAAATACGGAAATGTTTCCATAATGGGAAATGGATATTAAGAATATATGTGAAAGTTAGAAACTTTTATGCAAGAAGGATGTTCAAAGGAATGTACTTTGAATTTGAGACTTCGCCTCCTTGGAATTTTTTTTGTTATCAATCTCCAGTGGAAAGTTTTGTAATATCGTTGGCAAAGTCTCTCTGACTTTGGTACTATGACATTACAAAAGGTACATTGCATGATAGTTTAGAATCTAACACCTTCTTATAGTGGCAAGAATTTAGAATTCTTACACTTGTGATAAAGATTTGGAATTGTGAAATGAGCTTCATTGGAAATGTTTTTCAATTGATCTATTTCACAAAGAAAGGACCATAAGTAAACATAGTGTATATGCTTGGAGCATGGATAACTATTGTTTTAATTCAAGTATTAAGTTGATTAATCGAAACATTATACGATGAATAATATGTAATCAATATGGTGATTAAATAAAAGGTGTTTTATTAATATTCAAAAGTTTTGAGACCATATTGGATTCGATTATCCTTGATTTTCATATTGCATATTTTGACTTCCCGAATAACTAGGTTATTCAAACTATCCACAGTAGATCATACTTTGGAAGTAGGTATTGAAGCTAGACTATCATGAATGGGTCTGTAGATTATCTAAAGGTGTCTAGACATAGCACAAGTTTGATGTAGTATTCATGAGTTCTCATGTAATAAGATTTGAGTTTTGGACTAAATCCACACTCATTCGAATCACTTCATATATTTTATCATGATTGATCATGAGATGATAATATCTTATATTCTTGAAATTGAGAGATATGAGTTGCAGTTTACATCTCGGTTGCACATTGATGATATGTAAATGACCCAGTAACTTGGTGTTATAAAACATATTGTTGTGTGTGATTTGATGAGTAAATAGAGAAAGCATATGATTCGAAGTTAATCCGTTCCTTTTACCCAAAGAGGGGTAAAAGCGATATATCTAGGCCCCTCGATGATTTAGTGATGACAATCCTAAGCGCTTAGCCAAGCTTGGACTGATTTGATTTGTTCAATTAGTCGGTCGTCATAAATCATAAATCGGGAAAAACAGATGGACAGAGAGAATGATTATAATCCATGTCTCAGTCCATATGATATCTTATAGAATGGAGGAATATATGATCCCTCATCTAATGGACGCATCATTGACTGGGTCAGAGTTCGACAACGTCTTTAAAGAGCTACGATTGCTAGTCGGGTTGTGGAGTCCTTAGACATATCCAGGTGGGAGACTGTTGGATTAGGTGGCTAATCCCATAAATATAATTGGTATGTACTTGACCCGATAGTAGCATGGTCCATTTCGGGTTGCCTTCATCATGATAATTTGATAGGATGGATATTTGAGTAAGAGGTTATTTGTGATTTATTAATATATTATAAGTATAATATATTAATTGAGAAATCATATTATTTAATAAATATTGATCAAGAATTAACTTGGAATTAATTTAGTGATCAAAAGAGACTAATTAAATTAACGGGGACTGATTATGTAAATCAGTGAGACATATGGTTTGGGCTAATGATCCATGATTAACTTGTAATGGGCTAAGCTTATGTGAAATTCCATAAATTATTAGTCCAAATAAGTTATGGATCATAAGCCTAAGTGGAATAATTAGGGTTACACATAACTCTTGGAATTCTACATTATATATGTGTAACCCCTTTAGCCAAAATTGGTCCTAAGAGTGATATCACAAGAGTATGGACAATTTCTTGGTGCCTAACCGTTCTCTCAATATTCTCCAATTGTTCATGATGATTGTGACTTGTTTAAGGCACAGCACTTGGGTTGCTAAGATCTTGAAAGGCCAAATTCAACAATCTACAACAAGATGTAATCTTCTAACTTACATTTGTGATTCATATGTCAAATTGTATGCTAGTTTCAGGATTTATGCTTTGGAAATTTTTGTTGCGTGTATAAATAGAGAAAACTTTGATCCAAAGCTATTAGGGTTGTATATGCACCATAGGAGTGTTATAGTACCTAAAACACAACAAGATGTACCTTTCAGTTTTCTTGTATTCCGGGTTTACCATCCCCAGAAAATGGTTTATGAGGTTGTTAAATCAGGAGGTGTAGGCAATCACCTCCGATCCTTTCATGGTGAGATTCCAAATCTCCTGCTCTCGAGCTTGGACTTTTGTCAAGGACAGTACTTCTCGATCATCATTTGTTTTAGAGTTTCCCAGCTAATGGTATAAGCTGCATATTCCTATAGACTTGGCATGATTATTCCATAAACTCAGTGTGAAATCCATTAACATACAAGTGGTATATTTTACTTGGCAGTCCTCAGTGCAAGAACTGATGCGAAATATTGCCTTCATTTTCTCTGTCCAGCGGGATAGACCAAAAACACCTTCCATGTTGTAGAAGGATTCGGGTTTGTAGCCATTAAATCCTTATATGAGTAAGGTATGGAATTTTTTGGTTAACGAATGATATGTCACCACCAATTTTACTGTTCTTGGTAGTTTTGTTCCGAGTAGCCTCACATGCAGCTAAGGCTATAGCAATCCCTTGGGCCAATAAGTTATGTATTAGAGTGGGATCTATTTGACATGTTGGGTTTGAAGCATTGATAACTGGTGGGGTTTTAACTAGAGTTCCTCCATAATTTGGAGTTTCTTCTGAAGTTGGGATTACTGGTGGTACAACTCCTAGAGGGACTCGGGGAGTTTGTGGACGAACTCATAGATTTTTTCGTGGATGCATCACATTAATATGTTTAGATGGATACATTAGGTTTATTTTACACTATGTAGTTATAAGTATGTATGATTTATTTATTATGTAATTTGTTCCTGAGGTCATACAGATTCCTAAATAATAGAGTGAAAGCTTAACCCGATATAGTGTTTTGCAAGCAATACATAATAAGTTCCAACATTTAACCAATACTGAAAACAGTTTCATAGATTAGAACTACTTGTTTTCAGTTACAATGGTTACAAAAGTACCAACCGTGTAAGGTTAGAAATGGAAAAGCTTTACAAAACAACATTTGCTAAACAAGCGGTGATACACACTTGCAATAAAAAGCTATTCCTCAAAACTTCTAACCCTACCCTCGGGCACAAGCCACCCTAAATGAAATGTATACCATCCAGAACTTACAATCAAATAGCAAACTAGCTCATCAAACTACTCCTAAATATAGTTGACTCTCAGCAATCTAGGTTTGGTATGCTAGGGCTCGAAAATGAACACTCATACTATTCGCCTCGGTGCGACTAGCACCCATGCGATGGTATAGGGTTTGTATGGCCACTGTGGCATCATTCTCCTCATTTTCGACTCTTCCAAGTCTCTGTTCAAGTGCCCTGGAAATACAGCTTGAAGCTCTATAAGCTCCTCCAAGCACTAGACTGTGTCAGATAATCGGTTGCCCTGAGTCATCAGGCGAGATATCGGGTCGTTATCAAGGTTATCCATGCGGGGTACATGTGGTAGAGCTTTATAAGACTCTACTATCTTGAATCATGGAGGGTCATCAGTAGCCCTCCTCATGTCAGTGAGCGAAGTTGGCTCATAGAGCAATGTCAGTTTCCTCTTCTGACCCTAAGCGGGTTGGGAAACATGAATGGAAGGTCCAAGTGGTACACTGGGGGAACACTCATCCTTGGGATCCTCATCAAAAAGATACCCTTGCCATGATGGTGGTATGGCTGATAGTGGTTCCTGGGTGGAGAGGGTGGTGGAGTACGAGGGGCAGGTTCCTCGTCAGTAAGGCCTTTCTCATCCTCAGATGGATTGTCATCATCCATCTCTTAGGCATTGTGTAGAATTACTTTATCATCAGATTCTACAACTTCCTCTAGATCATTATCCTCCTCGTTCTCTAAAGGATCCTCCTCCTCTGATAGGACAGCTAGGGCTACTGGAGCGCCCTCGGGGAAGTATGGATCTCCTGCTAGTTGTATCGGGATCTCATAAGGTCCATTCATGTTGTATAGTCATCAGGTGAACTATCCATGTACACAAAGAGCGTTGGAAAATTTTAAGTGTGTTAGTGATGAATTTTTAAATGTATAAGTGTTTTAAAATTTACAGAAGGATTCTAAGGTACTAGGTATCTGCAATGAATCTTGATAACATTCTTCAATCTCTAAAGCTCTCAACTGTTGTAGTTTGTCAAACTCCTTGCTCAAGGTTCGTTTTGTACCCGCCAAACCATAAATAACATATGCACGCGTTCTAGGTTTATTTGTGGTATATCTTATGTATGGTACTAACCTTAGTCGAGGCGTTTGACCTAAAGGGTTGAGTTCGTACTTTCAGTTGAAGGTATGTTAAAATTTTATTAAGTGTTCTCAACATGGGTAAGAGTGTGTATATATATATATATATATATATATATATATATATAGGGTTGGTGAGGTTTGCAGTATTATTAGTTATTGTTTTGTACTCCAAGACTACCAAGTATAGATGAGGGCCACACATGAATCACCGGAGGGCATGATCATTTTAGCATATAGTTGTTCTAAAATCCAGCAACCCAAGCAGCCCTTCAAACTAGTTACCTCTCCTGTAAATAGTCAATAAATAGGGTAATTAATAATAATACTTTTATTAGGAGCATATTGTTGTAGTTGTATTCCTCTTTCGAGGATACGAGTTCTCTATAGCTAATTTAGCTCTGGTACCAATCTATCACACCGAAGGCTGAGGTGGCGGAACATGATGACCTGTGTGACTTAGTTCATGGATCACATGTAAACTAAATATATAGCACAAGTACAACAATAAACAAAACAACGTTTGTATTCCATCTTGATGTTTGAATACATGGTTCTTACAGATAATAGTATAGTACATGAATTGCCTTAAATAGGTAGGCAGACATAAGAAAAAATAGTAAACTAAATTGCCTGAAATCCCTGACCATTATATCATCTTAAATGCTTGATTACTGATTTCTTGAGAATACATGTATTTTTTAGGGTCAAAACAAGGTTGGTGAGAGTTACATGTTTCTGCTAACAATGGTAATGATACTTTTAAACACGTTTAAAAAGTATTTTCTTTGTAAGTAACACCATACTTAAAAATGTGTTTGTAAAGAGTCTTTCAATAAACTTTGAAAACCAAGAGGTGTCTTTGCATGAGTAAAACCATACTTCAAAACTGTTTTAAGAGAAACCAAGCCCATGGTTCATAGAGAGAGAGAGAGAGAGATTCTATTTAATGTTTATAGTGAGCCCTATAACCGAGTTATATGACTGAATGTACCCCCCCCCCTGAAACGCTTCATTGTACGTCGTAGTAACGATTGTAGATACTTATCACCCGTTTCGATTTATTGGTCGAGGTTGTACCTAGCAACCGTAGGTGGGGATGTCAACCTTGTATAAATTTATACATACATATCTCGCTCCATGGATTATCGGTTATAGTAGTGTGGGTATGCTAAGTGTTTAGACTTAGCTAATAAATAGTGTCTCACTATAAAGCCCTTAACGAAGTTATGTGAATAACTCTCAACCCTAACTTATATGTGGATAAGTTACTAGGCATAATGAATTGCATAAAGTTTATAAAACCCAAGTATGTTTGTCATATACGTAAAAGTATAATGTACTCACTTTTATAAATAGATACATCTCAAAGTAGTGGTCATAAGTACATGTATAAGTTCTAAGTTATAATCCTTATAACTTATAGACATATGAATTTAAACACACACACACACACACACACACATATATATATATATATATATATATATATATATATATATATATATATATATAAACATGCATGAAATAAGTTTGATCTTTGAAATACTACAAAGGTTTTTATGACATACAATAATCACATAAAATCATAAGTTTTGTAGGAAATGGTATGTGTTTCCTTTTGAATAGTTGTAACATGTTAACAACTACAACATGTATATTTAAATCATGATTGTGACTAGTTTATGAGTTAATAACATGTTACGTGTCAATTAAAATTATAAACCAAGTGTCTTGTACTTTTCATATAAAATGATAAGTTTGTATTGTATATTCTAGATAAACCAAATGTATGATCACATGTATTCCCCCCAATATATCTAAAAACATTAAAAAGGGGCCGTAAGCACTCAATTTTGAAGCGTGAACTCGAGTAGGCTAAGAATATGATTTGATTCGGGAAACAGCACAAGAAACACGAACTAGCAAAAACTAAACCTTTGATTCAACCCACAAACAACTAAACCTTAAGCCTAGCACTTGGAAAACACCCCAGAAAAATGGATGGAACAAAAAGTGGAAGGTGGTAGTCAGTATTTTCGATGGCAGCAGGCGGAGGCAGTGGGTGATCCAGCAGTGGTAGCATGACAGTGAGGGTAGCGGAGCAGTGTTGGCAGGCTCTTGATGCCTTCATTTTTTTTGGCAGTGTTGGCACGATGAAGAATGAGTGGGAAGTTACGATCATCGAGATGAGGGAAGGCAGTAGGGGTGATCGGTGTGTTTGGGAGGGTGGCTATCAATCCAAAATATGATGGAGATAAGTGGAGTGGAAGTGGCTGATGGTGGTTTTAGTGGTGGTTCTTGGGCGGGATAATGAGCAAGAAAGAGAGATAGTGAGCGAGTGAAGGAGAAAAAGGAGCTAATGTCTGACAGGTTGTGATAGAAATGAATGGTTTGAGGCTTCTATTTATAATGAGGAAACCCTCTTACAAGACCATGCAAGCCATACCTTGAAATGTAGGCAAACACCCTTGAATCCCATAATTTATACTTTTGAATAAGGATTACATTCAATCAAGAAAGAAGGAACTGGTCTTCAGCGCGTGGTTAAGGCAAGGATCGGGAAGGAGTTGTAATTACACTATATATTATTCAAAATTTGTATGAAAGTTCAATAGTTCATATTACAAAGAGGTTCACAGTGAACTGATTGTCTATAGTTTTAGACCTAAATACCAGGATGTCAAATTACCTCCCCGTTAAAGGAATTTTGTACCTAAATTATTAAGTTCCAGACTATTATGTTGCACTAGTGGAGGGCGCACTGTTGAACAATTGTGGATACTTTTGTTTCATCTGATCCTCGTATTTCCAAGTAAACTCCTTTCCTCTACCAGAGTTCCATCGGGCTTTTACTATAGGTATTCAAATTTGTTTTAGGCTCTTGATCTATCGATCCATGATCTTCACATGCTCCTATATGAAGTGAAGTTTGGTGTTGACCAGGATATCATCGAGAGGAATGACAAGGTTCTCATCAGAGAGACACTTCTTGAGATTACACATGTGAAAGGCATCGTGAACATTGCTGATTTCTTAAGGTAACTTGAGTTTGTAAGCCATCAAACCAACCCTTGCTCAGATTTTGAAAGGTCTGGTGTATCGAGGGTTTAATTTACCTTGTTTTCCAAATCTAATGACACATGTCTTACAGAGTTTATATCGTCCTTTCACTCTATCCATCTTTTTGAGGATGATATGAAGTACTCATCTAGAGTTTGGTTCATAGGGACCTTTTTAATTATTGCCAAAATCTGGAAATGAATCTGCTATCTTGGTCTGACATAATAGATATTGGCACACCGTGCAGTCTGGCTATTTCCTTGAGATAGGTCCTGGTGATTTTATCCATCTTGTCAGTTCGTTGATGTCTATGAAATGGGTGGACTTGGTCAACGGTCGATCACTACCAAAAGGGTGTCATAACTGCTTGAAGTTTTAGGAAACTTTGTTATAAAATCCATAGTTATTTGTTCCCATTTCCATTCTGGGAGTGACGGTTGTTGTAGTAGTCCTGATGGCTTGTGGTACTTTTCTTTGACTTTAGAGGAAGTCAAGTATTTAATAATATGTGTGGCAATCTCTGCCTTCATGTTGGGCCACCAATAAAGCTTCTTAAGATCTAGATACATCTTATCCGATTTGGGATGCATCGAATATCTCGACATATGAGCTTCATTTAAGACTAGACTCCTGACTTCACCAAACATTAGGGTATAAATTTGTTTTATGAAATATCATATTCCGTCTTCCTTGATGTCAAACTATTTGTCCATTCCTTGCAAGTTTTATTCTATGCTATTTTCGGGATTAAGCTCTTCCAGCTGAGCCTCTAGAATTTGGGTGATGAGATTAGAGTGGATGGTTAGGGTTACATCCTTTACATGAAGTGTCTTTGCTCATTCTTTCCTACTTAAAGCGTATGCTACGACATTTTCTTTACCATGAAGATAACGAATTTCACATTTGTAATCATTTAGCAATTTGACCCACCTTCGTTGTCTCATGTTGAGCTCCTTCCGATCGAAGACGTGTTAAAGGATTTTTTGGTTGGTGAACATGATACACTTTGTCCCGTATAAGTAGTGCCTCCAAATATTTAAGTCAATCACTACCGCTCCCATCATTAAGTCATGGGTAGTGTATTTGGCCTCATTTAGCTTAAGTTTTGGATGTGTATGCAATGACTTTATTCCTTTGCATCAATATGCATCCCAAGCCTTGGTGAATGGCATTGTGGAATATTATAAAGACTTCGGCTCCCTCTAGAACAGACAAAAATGGTGCATTATACAACAATTGTTTCCATTTCAGGAAGTCACAATCTTATATGTCTCCCCAATCGAACTTCTTGTTATTATAGGTTAGAGCGGCGAGAGGCTTGGCTATTTTGGTGAAATTCTCAATGAAACTCCAATACACAAAATTACAAAATAAATTAACTATTTTATGTGGACCGATAGGTGGGCATCTAAAATAGGCAAACTTTATAGATTTTTGGTTTTTCATTGTTTTATGGAGTTATT